CTTCCTCCCAGGGCCCTTGCCGTGCTGCTTCAGGTCCCTCTAACCCCACTTCATGCAAAGAGTTTTGGGTAAAAGCCTGGAGACTTCAGCGTCACTCAGATCCGACCTGGGGTCCCAGTCCTTGTCATGTTGTGACAAGTTACCCAACCGCTCGCAGTCCTGCTGGGATAATAACTGGGTCCCCTTCCCACGGCGCGCTGGAGGGTAAATGATGCGGTGTGGAGGGGCGGGGGCGGCGGCGTATGGGAAACGCCCGAGAACGGGCAGCTGCTCCACACCTTGGTTCCGCCCCTTACTTCCTGGGGTGAGTGAGAGCCCAGGGAGGGAGGTGGACACTCATCCGATTTGGACCAATTCAGCAAAGAAAAGATTAAACAACAGTCTTAGACTTGCCTTTCACTTTTGTGAACTGTTTCTTTCCTGCTCTTTGGTTCTTTCTGGAGCGTAGCCACGTGATGCCGAAATGCCCAGGTGAACCAGTGAGCAGCCCGGTGCTCTGCCCCGGGGGCGGCCGGTGCCGGGGAGTAAGCTGAGGCTTCCTCTGTCCGGTTCACCTTCGCAGTACGACCTGTTCTCCTGCAGGATGGAAGGTGCCCCAGAGACACAGACCCTTGAGCGACGGGCGATGAAATGAGAAGAGACCCATGTGGCACCTCCGCTCAGAGAGGCTCCCCGCCCGGCTCCGCGGGTTCCCTGCAGGGGCGGGGGGAGGGTGTCTTCAGCTACCTGGTGGCTGGCCACACCTTGCTGAAAACCTTGCCCAGTCCTGCCGCTGGTGCTGAGGGGCAGTGCTGGGCCAGGCTCCTGAGCTGCAGAAACGAAGCAGAGCGGGGCTGTCTTGGTCTGTCCCTTTTCAGGGAAAGCATCATTCTCAGGAAATACCAACTCCCTTGGGAGGAGGGAAAGCACGGGGAGGCTCACACACCCACACCCAGACCGTCGGGTGGACCTGGCCTTAGCGCCCTCTCACGTGGCACGGCAGGGAAAGGGGGCTTCTCACCAGCACCCCTACACACACACCAACCCCTCTGTGCAGCTGGGTCGGGTCCCTGAGTCCCTGCCTAGGCTCTGCCCACGATGTGCTCTCCAGACCCCTCCTGCCCATTTGGTAGAGTCAGGAGCCTTGATTTCTGGGCCCAATGTAGCGGCTCTAATGCTGAACTGGAGTTGTACTTGCAGCCCCTTTCGTGTGTGGCGATTCGACAATAAGTAGCACTTTGGCTTTATTCTTGCAAAATACTGATCGCCAGTGTTTTCCCAGCTGTGCCCGGCTGGTGTGCTTTAATGAGCTTTGTTTTGCATTTTACTGAGAAAGGCCGCAGACCTCTGGCCTATGTTCTGCTGTCATGGGCGGGGGCGGGCGGGGGGGAATCTATTCCGCTCCACTGTGCTTTGTCGACATCCCACACCCTCTATTTACTCCCACTTTGCAGGCAGTAAGGAACCCCTGGCAGGGAATGGGGCAAGTGCCGGTTCCCAGACAGGAGGCAGCTACTGCAGAAGCAGAGGGGACTGAGCGTCTTCCTGACACCCAGTTTAGTGATCCGGTTCTTTCTAGGCGTATCATGAGATCTCACTGCAAGTAGAAATCTCTAAATGTCGGACGCTCTGATAATCAAATGCAAAAACTCATTCCAAGGTCAAACAGAAATAAAGTTCATTGTCAACAATCATGTTGACCCTGCAAGATAAAGGGTGACGAGGAGGGGGTATGGTTTCTAGCCTCAGGTGAACTTACAGGGAAAATGAGGAGTCAGAATATATATGAACAAAAGGAGGCAGATGGCAACATCGAGGCGAATGGTCCCCAGGCAGGATGTGCTGGTGGGCTGGGTCACCTCTCCCTACAGCACCAGGTGCCAGGTCCATGAAGAACCCGTGTGATTGAACTGGAAAAAGGACAGAGGAAGTGGCTTCTAACCAGCCTGGTACTGGGAGTGAAGAATGAACCTCTCTTCTCTAAGTCACCCCGTCTGTGTCCCAGCTATGCCTAAATGCTACCCTTGTAGAGTCATTCCTTTCCAAAAGGTTTCCTGCCCCCTGATAAAAGACAAATAACATTGCAAGACGCTCCTATTCATTTATACCTCCAGGCTATGACTTTTCCCTGTCCCACAAGCAGGTTTTCATAAGAGGGGAAAGGAGGTGAATTTGAAGGTGCGGGAAATGTGCTCTGAAACTGAGTAGGTCCGACTTCACATCTTTGTATGGTCCATTCAGCTCTGAGGTTCAGGTGAGGGTTTTTGGAAGATTCACCAAAATCTCATCATTCTTTTCCTGCTGCCCCTTCCAAAAAGGCAAACCAGTAGCAGAGGGAAATCCAGCTTTGTTAGGGAAGCTGTGAGCGTGAGAACGCGCTCACGCTGGGCCTGGCGGGACCTGGAGAGGCAGGTGGGCAGCCTCTGAGCTGTCCTGGGCACACTCCATGCCACTGCTGGGCCAGCCATCGCCCCCTGTCGGTGGGTCTCCCTCCGGAGTCATCAGCCAGATAGAGATCGCGGTCTTTGTTCCACTCGGCTGAGCTCCGGGGCTGCAGAGGCGGTGGTGGTGTGGCTTCCAGCTGTGTCTGCAGGAGCACCGGTTGGCGCAGTGCGCCAGCGGGCCAGGGGCTGGCCGGGCCCTGGGCGTCTGCGTGGAGGCGGCCTCACGCCTGTTTTCCACCCCAGCCTTTCTCCGCCTGGCTTCATGACAGTCAATCCTGCTGGGATCCCACAAGGCCCCAGAGGGCCCGAAATACCCTGTAACTCGTGCCCTGGGCTGGCACGCAGGGTGAAATGGAGAACAGGAGAGAGGGATGCGTGAGCCTGGGAGGCCTGGGCTGGAGCGTTCCCACCTGCCCTGACTCACCCTGTGAGCCCAGCCACACTGCTGCACCTTCCGAATGGAGCCTCAGCTTCCTCATCTGTAAAATGGGCGTGCCCCAGGGTTTCTCCTGCTTTTCCTTGCCCCCATCAGGAATAGGATATTCGTTTAGGTCAGTTTTCTAAGCCTTATTTCTTGTGAAGTGAAATACATTATTTTCTTATGAAAGGAAGTGAAAATATCGGAGACCAGGTAGGAGATTTGGGGAGGTGTGGGTGAAGAGTTACTGTTCGTTTCTTTGCCCTCAAAATATTCCTACAACTTTGCTCTTTAAAATGTAAAGTATTCTTGTCTCAGGAACAGTATTTGGGTAAGTCTATTCTCTAAGACCTTCATCAGATAACCTGAGAAGGTGATGACCTGACTGCCTTGAACATGGCTTAGTTGTGTCCCCCATTGGATAATACGTCCCCAGGGCAGGGACCGTGTCTTCTTATTCCATTTTCTCTCCCCAGAGACTACCAGCTCAGGGCCAGGCATGTATAAGTGCTAGGAGTTGTTGTTTAGTGAGCTGAACGGTTGGACTGTAAGCCCCCAGGCAGGGGCGTGTCTGCTCCCCTCACTGTCTTCCCAGCTCTTCCCCACGGCAGAGCGATGGGACAGCAATTTAACTTCTAATGAGTTTACTCACCAAACGCTAAATGCACAAAGCCAACCACAAGTGAGAAAACTTAAATACATACTGCTGGAGAGAGTGGAAGGGACCCAGACCCAGAGAATGGACAGTGTCTACATAAGACATAACTGTAGTGGCTTTCACGTGGCATATTTTGATTACAGTGTTGGAGAAAATGGGAGTTTTTCTGTTTATGGTGGAGATTAAGGAGCCATCCATTCATTCTCACACACCTGCAAAACACCTGGCCCTTCTCTAGTCATTCCAGTCAACACCTGTGGAGCGCCATGCAGGATCCTACACTGACTACTGGCAGGGGACAAAGGAGGTGTGTCCTGTCCTCAGGGAACTATATAAAAAGGCAAGTACCTGACAAGCAGCAGTGGGGAAAGTGCCTGACTGTGGAAGGACCAGTGGGAGCTGCTCAGCCGAGGAGGAGTTTGTTGAACTAGAGCAGTCAGGGCAGACTTCCTGGAGGAGGTGGCTTATGAGCTAGAACTGGAAATACCAGCAGGATTGGGGCAGACCAGGCCATGCTCAGACCCAGGGAATAGATTAACAATCTGTCTGGAGAATGAAACGGAGGAAAAAGCTGCTAGGTAGGCAATTTCACGTGGACTGTATCCCACATTCAGGAGGTGACCACACGAGCTAGGCTGGATGGATACATTTTAGCTAATCCTGGAAGAAATCATGGTATCAAAACCAATATATGTGCCACTACCTTCAGACCCAGCTTCTTCCTCGTGTGTCCCCGGGCCCGCCCCCCTGCTCTCTCGTCCCACACCTCAGCACCACTGCCCTTTCTAAACAGGTGGTGGGCGGAGAAGGAGGTGCAGCGGAATGTCCTTGTGGTGACCTTTAAAACCTGAGGGTTTCTTGACGTTTCTAAACACACCTCTGCCTCCACCCCCAAACGGAATTCTCTATTGCAGGGCTCCGTCTGGAAGCTAAATCATCACAGTCCTGGAGGCTGGGCGCCTCCTTCTGGTCAGAGTTGGTAACTACAGTACCTAAATGGCTGTTTTCCGGACTTCTCTAGGGAAAGACCCCGGTGGAAATTGCCCTTGAGGTGAGTAACAATTAATATTAACTGAAGGCTTCCTGCATGTCATGAAACTTCCTAGGGGATTATGTAGACTGTCTCGTGTTTTTCTTCATAGCAACCCTCTGAGGTTGGTACTGTTATTATCCCCATTTTAACCAAGAGGACAACAGAACACTGAGAATTCAGAATGTGCCTGAGTTTACATAACCAGGAATCAACCAAGTTGTGCCTGCTGACACAGAGCTGACTCTTAACAATAGAATGCAAGACTTACAGTTCTAATTGATACAGATTTGTACCATGGTGATGCTAGTAATTTAAGGACATAATGTGAAAACTCCATTGTTTTGAAGGGTGCAAATTGTTCAACCCAACAAACTTTAAATTTTTTTTTTTTTTTTTTTTTTTTTTTTTGCGGTACGCGGGCCTCTCACCGTTGTGGCCTCTCCCACTGCGGAGCACAGGCTCCGGATGTGCAGGCTCAGTGCCCATGGCTCACGGGCCCAGCCGTTCCGCGGCATGTGGGATCTTCCTGGACCGGGGCACTAACTCATTAAGGCATAATCACACCTGGAGCCTTTCGTGAGGTCAGTTTTTAGCAATGCCACTGGCTGGGAGGACATGGGCTCTCTGGGCAGAGCCTGGGCTGCATGGGGACAGGGGTGGTGGTCCCCCTATTGGGGAGGGGAAATTCCCCCCTTGCCCCTCTTCAATTCTTGTGGCTGGACGATAATAAAATTGACACAAGACAGATTAGCAGGAGGAAAAAAAACACATTTTAATTCATGGGCATGGAGGTCCCATAGAAATGAGAGCGGTCAGCTTTTATACTTTTTAGACAAAGAAACAGTAAATTTGTAAGGAACTGACAGGACAAAGAAACGTAGGTTTGGGTGTCCAATTAGTGGAGAATCTAAACAGAGTTTGGGCTTGGGGTACTAAATTAAAGAAGTAATGGGGTTTGTTTATATATATATATAAACAAACTTATATGTATATATAGGCTTCTCAGCCTATATGTATATATAGGCTTCTCAGCCCTGAATTCCTTAGCTTTGGTGATAAGGATGTCCTTCTATATCTGCATGCAGGGAGAACATCTTTCGCATGAGAGATCTATTTCTTGCTTTCAGGGACACAGAAAGGGCGGTCAGAGTATCCCGCTTGCATTGGCCGTTTCTTAAGTAACTTCAATTTCAAAATAACCAATATGCCATTGAGGCACATTTTGGGGCGGTCTGCCCTGGGCCCCAACACCAGCATATGGGATGGTCCATGTGAATGGCCTCCCTGCCCAACATGGGATGCAATGACAATAGCTCAGGAATCTCACACTGCATTGTTTATAAACACTTTTATGTATATTATCTTAGTTTATTTATACAACTGAGAGGCAAACGTTTTAAGACATTTAACGTACAAAAACAACAATAACAGTCAAAACAAAACAAAACAAAAACTCCCTGAAATTCAGAGAGGTCACTTGGTTTTCCTGAGGTTACACAGCTGTAAGTAGTAGGATGGCTGTAGGCAGTCACCTACCTGCTATGATTTAATGGGTTCTTCTAAATTTTCCATGTTAAATATTACATTCCATTATAACATGATCCAGCAATTCCACTCCTAGGTGTCTACACAACAGAAATGAAAATACATGTCCACACAAAAACTTGTATATGCATGTTCATAGCAGCATTATTCACACTCAAAAATGGAAACAACCCAAACGTCCACCAACTGATGAGTGGATACACACAATGTGGTCTGTCCCTACAATGAAATATTATTCAGCCATAAAAAGGAACGAAGTACCGATGCTAGCTACAACATGCATGGAAAACATTACGCTAAGTGAAAGAAGCCAGTCACAAAAGGTCACATATTATATGATGCCATTTATATGAAATGTCCAGAACAGGCAAATCTATAGAGGCAGAAAGTAGATTAGTGGTTGTCAGGAGATGGGGAAGATGGGGGAGTTACTCCTAATGGGTCTGGGGATTCTGTTAGGGGTGATGGAAATATTCTGGAATTAGTGGTGGTGGTTGAACAACTTCGTATGTGAATGATAACTCAATTTAAAAATATCTGTTTTAGGGCTTCCCTGGTGGCGCAGTGGTTGAGAGTCCGCCTGCCAATGCAGGGGATGTGGGTTCGTGCCCCAGTTTGGGAAGATCCCACATGCCGCGGAGCGGCTGGGCCCGTGAGCCATGGCCGCTGAGCCTGCGCGTCCGGAGCCTGTGCTCCGCGGCGGGAGAGGCCACAACAGTGAGAGGCCCGCATACCGCAAAAAAAAAAAAAAAAAAAAAAATCTGTTTTAAAACTATGTCCCTCATTGAGTTCTTTATTCTCTGCCACATTGCCTATATTTCTACCCATCAGAGAAGCTCCTCTTTAAAAAGGCAAACACTTAACCGCAGCCGTCGGTCAGTTGTGCCTTAGAGAGATTCCTCTAACCTCCCCCAAGAGGGTCAACACCGAGAGCACGACTGCTTGGAAAAGGAATCAGGGCACCAGAAAAGTAACTCTGAGGATGGAGATGTGGATTTGGCTGACGTGGAAACCTCGAGGCAGGCCGGCGCCCGGGAGGCCGGGGTCAGGGCCGCGAGGCGGGATGAACAGTTGGGACCCTTGCTGCCCGTGTTCCATGGGGGTCATTCCAGAGGACATTGGCCGAGACATTTTGAGCTGCCTCTGTTTTTCCTCTGCTGAGTCACAAAGTTATCTACAATAGACACTTATTTTGTTATTTACCATTAGAAGAGGACCAGGATAGCAGAGCCTAGCCTGTGCCTTGAGAGGTTTATATCCAGCTCTGCCACAGACTAGCCATGACCTCGGACAAGTTACTTCACCTCCATGCCTCCGTCTCTCTTTGTAAAATGGTAATAATGATAGTATTTTCCCCATAGGGTTATTGTGACTGCTGGCTGTGTTCTGTAACCAGAGTGCTCAGAACAGTGCCCGGCACTTAGTGAGGGCTTTATACGTACCTGAGATTTTATAGACTCTGACCAGTAGGTGCATCTTTTTGAAAAGCTTACTGATGGAAAGAATTACATTCTCTGTTTTCTTTCAGATTGCTTCTCCTTTCGCATTTCCCCATATTTGTCTCTCTGTTAACTTTGTTACAAGTTAACAAAAAGGAATGTTATACTTTGAATTATATCTTAATTCTGTGCCCCACTGGAAATAAAGTTTCCAAATGAGAGGAAGTTTTGTCATTTTTAATACATTTTAAGGAAATCAGTTGTACGGGTGGAGGGTACAGAGACGTGATTTCGCGGAGCAAGGCTTGGGCTCTCCATAGCCTGTTTCTATGAAGTTTTGGAACGAGAAGCAGGTTGACCCTTAGATTTGAGCATATGACTTCTTTTCTAACACACAGCCCGAGGGCTCTTCCACTTTCGGATTTGCAGAACGATCCGTGTAAAGCCCCAGAGCCTGACTCGGAGTTTCCACCAGCAATGCTTGGATTTCAGACAACCACCCAGCCACAGCGCTCCTTGTGATTTCAGGCCTTCTCTCGTATGGAAGTGATCTTTCAGCGCTGTGATGTGTGCTGACAAGGAGTCAGGTCCCGGCAGGATTGCCACCATAAATCTGTAGGTGATCGTCACTGACACATGGAAGCAGCAGTCACGGGGTGGGCAGGGTGTCCCCAAACATCAGAGTTGGTGATGGAGGTGCTGGATCTGGGTGTCACCGTGGACTGACTCTTCATTCCCCAAATGACTACACACTCAGGGTCACAGTGAGCCAGTTTCTGGAGTCAAGCCAGCTGGGTGGCTACGAGAAGCAGAAGAAGGTGCCTGATATCAGGCCCTCGTCGGTGGAATGCTGGCTGATGAAATTACAGGCCCTAGCCTACTTTTGCTTTTACAAGATGATTTAAAAAGTTGAATTCTAACCAGTCTTTCTCTTCTTGCAAATGAGTAGTTCGTTACTAGTTAGTAATCAATTTATTGACCTTTTCCCCCAAAAGGCTTGTGCAAGTATCATGGCGCATCTCCCTCATCCACTCTTCCTCACCTGACAGCAAACGTTGTTGATTTCTGCCTCCAGAATCTCTCACAAAGCGCCCATCCTCTGGGCCACCATCCAGGCCCGCTGGATCTGGGCCCCTCTGCATCTGGCTGAGGTGGTCGAAATTTAAACCTCTCATCCCTTCTCCTTCCTTTGCTCCAAGATATATCATTTCACATAAAACACTACAGGGCTGTTTTTAAGAAAGAGATCCACTCCTTAAATGAACTGAAGTTTCATTTAACAAGGGTTAAATTAATTTAAGATCAACAAACACTGTGGATTTCAATTTAACATCATTTGTAAATGAATTAACAAATCATAGTCATTTAACATCATATGTGCTGGGCTGGTGCTCTGTATGCAGAACTATGGTCATGCTCGATCGTAAGCTAAGTTCAGACGTTTATGTTCCTGAAAATATGAAGACTTGTTTTTTCTCTTCTATGCTAAATGTTTCTTTTCTTTCTTTTTTTTTTTTTGCGGTACGCAGGCCTCTCACTGCTGTGGCCTCTCCCGTTGCGGAGCACAGGCTCCGGACGCGCAGGCTCAGTGGCCATGGCTCACGGGCCCAGCCGCTCCGCGGCATGTGGGATCTTCCCGGATCGGGGCACGAACCCGTGTCCCCTGCATCGGCAGGCGGACTCTCAACCACTGCGCCACCAGGGAAGCCCTAAATGTTTCTTTTTAAGTGAACTTTAAAAATCACTTTGAGAGCACACTGTATCACAATATTCAGTGTGATCTTCCCCCAGTACTTAGAGGAAGAGGGAAAAACAATAAACTAGGAAAGGGCAGAAGACACCAACATATGGAGGAGAGGTTTAGATTTGGGGTTAGGATATGCAATACTAACTCTTAGTCTCAATAAATGTTCCCCTCCTCCCCATATAGCTTTAGTTTGAGATTTCTAAATAAATATTTCTTTAAAAACTTAAAAAAATAAGAAATATATGCTCATTGTAGAAAAATATAAAATATGGATAATACATAAATAGTGAAAATGCAAAACTGACAAAAATTCCTACTTCTAAGCTAATCATGGTTAACATTCCAGTAGAGATTATTCCAGACCTTCATATGAACATATTCTAGATATCTACATAAACCCATATTGGGTCAACCAATATATACTGTTATGAACAATAGTCTTTAAGTTGGAGGCTATCTTTAGGTCCCTCTGGGGAGGAGATTTGCTATGCTCGATCCCCTTAGTATTTGAGGGCCCAGCGGACTTCAGACTGAAGTCTCCCTACTCACCGTTTTCTTTGGAGCGGGGACCACATCACGACTTTTCCCTGGGGATGCTCTCAGAGAATGGGGACCAGGCATGCTGGGGCTGCTCCAGGACAGCGAGGAGCTGAGCTTATCGAGTCTCATGACCCAACTGGACCTGGGCAGCCAGAACACATGCGGGCCGCTCCGGGCTGGGGCGCTGTGAGATGCGCGTTCCGAGCGGACGTCTCAGGCTCTACGCGCATGCGCCTGCCCTCGGTCTCCCTCACTCGCTCGCTCTCTCGCTCTTTCTCTATCTGTCAACTGGCTAGAAAGTAGCGAGTTCTCACTCCTTCCTTCTATCTCTTTGTCTCTTTCCCCCTCAACTTGGTTTGACCTGCTGAGTTCTAAAGAACTTCATGCCACACGGGTCCATTTTCAGCAAATGTGACTTACAGGCTTATTCCTACACGAAACAGGTCATCCAACCCCTCTCACTGCAGAAGTTTCAATCAATTGTTGGACACTCTTACCCAAAAGAACAATGTGGGCCAGCGAGTGAAAAGCTGTGCACGGTCCCCCTTAGTGTCCGATAGAAATTGGCTCCCTGAGCAATGGCTTCTTATAGCGTCACAGGTGCCGGTACAAGCCCCCCTCGCGAAGGCAGAGGGCTCGGCTCCCCGCCTTTGCAGAGAGCAACATTTTCAGAGAGAAGAGAAGCTCTAATAAATGACTTGCTTTCTTCTGCTAACTTGAGAGCATTAATTCAAAAAATTTGTTTTTTGGTGACTATCAGCTTTTTGACCGACTCAGTTCTAACTGGTAATCAACAGAAAGCATACATTTCTTAAGAATTTTCTATCAGTAACTGTTATAGTCATTCAGAAGATCCTTCAGAATTTTAGATTTAGCTGCAACTTGAAAGATAATATGGACCCAACTCCCAATTTTCTAAATAAAGAAACTAAGATTCAAAATCAGTAATTTCTTCAAGATCTCCAAACAGTCTGATTTGGTTTCGGCTTCCAGCATATTACAGCATAGTCTCTGCTACTGGATTTATCATTTGCATTTGGTAAAAAGACAGCATTCCATGCCAAGGTGCACGTTCTAGATGCCTTTGGTTTGCGTGCTGCATAAATAGGCACGGACCGCAAATAGAAACCACTATGTTCATCTTCGTATAGACTTACACTCATGGTAGTTTCCAAATACAGAGAATCTGTTAAATATTAAAAAAAAATAAATGAAGCCTCTGCCTTAAGGTCGCATATCAAAAATATCATGTCTCATTCGTCTCTAACTTTCTTTAAATAATGTGGGAGGAAAAGAGCAATTTCAGGGCAGGAGAAGGGAAACTGAAGTGAACTGGGACAGGTTCTCAGTTCTGAGAGTTAAAGAGCTTCTCTTCCAGACTTTTCTGCAAGGCAGTATTTCTGAGATTATCAATTGAAAGGTGAGGTCATCTGAAATAAATGTAGCCTCTGGCCAATTAGTCTATGCAGGAGTCTATTCTGTGATAGCATTTCCATCCCTTTCTTTGGGGCCTGTCCTGCAGCTTGGGGAGAGCAGCTGTTTTACGACCTGGCTGCCACTGGCTGCTCGGGTCTGGCCCGGCCAATAGTTTTCCACACAGTTCCCGGCTACAGTCAATTCTTGCTCCAGGAATAACCCAAAATAGAACAGAGTTGTTTCCGAGGGATTTTGCAACTGGAATGAGGAGAAGAAACCACCTCTTGGGCACTGGAATTGTGAGAGGAAAGGCTGGGGATGCCTCGAGGGACGACATACCCCCATGTGTTCTGGGGAAGAGGAGGGAGTCAGTCTGCAAAGGGGAAAAGCAGAGCGAGGCAGACAGGGGGGACCGAGTGGGAGGTGGAGAGGCCCTCACGGCAGCCACTGGGTCCCATGGGGCCACGTGTTTTCTTTCTTTTTTTTTTTTTTTTTTTGCTGTACTCGGACCTCTCACTGTTGTGGCCTCTCCCGTTGCGGAGCACAGGCTCCGGACGCGCAGGCTCAGCGGCCACGGCTCATGGGCCCAGCTGTTCCGCAGCATGTGGGATCCTCCCGGACCGGGGCACGAACCCGCGTCCCCTGCATCAGCAGGCAGACTCTCAACCACTGCGCCACCAGGGAAGCCCAGGCCATGTGTTTTCTGATTTTGATTTTTGTGAGTCTCTCCAGAATCCTCCTGGCATATTTGCATCTCTGACTCCTATAAACCAATTCATGGTAAGTGGAGCAGTTAGGGCTGATTTCTATAAAATTACCCCAAATGTTCTCATTCATCTAGTTTGTCTAAGTAATTTTCTGCTAAAGGAGGTCTGGAAGACAAAGCAAATCAAAACCTTTTCTTCGTGAGTTTAA